GGGGAGAGTGGGGGAAAGGGTACATGGAATAAGTATGAATGGTAGGTACAAAATAGACAGGGGGAGGTTAAGAATAGTATAGGAAATAGAGGAGCCAAAGAACTTATATGTACAACCCATGGGCATGAACTAAGAGGGTAAGGGAAAAGCTGCAGGGAATGAGGGTACCAGGCAGAGGGGTATAAATGGGAGAAAAAGATTGGGACAACTGTAATGCATTAATCAATAAAAGATACTAAAAAAAGAGAGAAGATGATATCCATAGGAGTGATCTTGTAGAGGAGGAAAACTTGATGATGTAGAATAGAAGAGATAATTTTGGAGTCATATCTCTGAGAGAAAAGGAACTAGGTCCAAATTTTTCAAGTCTGTACTTCATTTGTGTTTTTGTACCACACCTTGTATTTTTCAGTTTGATTCGGGTTTCATTTTTTTAATGTTTTACTTTTTATGCTATTACAATTGTCCCAGTTTTGCGCCCTTCAGTCCCTTCCATCCAGCTCATCCTACACTTCCATAGTCAGACCCTACCCTGTTGACCATGTCTATGGGTCCCTCATATATGTTCCTTTACTAATGCCTTTATCTTCTTTCAAACAGTCCCCACCTCCCTCCTCCCCTCTTATTATGGCTGCCAGTCTATTCCATGATTCTGTTGCCTCTGGTTCTGTTTTGCTCATTAGGTTATTTGGTTCATAGATTCCTCTCATAAGTGAGATCATGTGGTATTTGTCTTTTACCAACTGCCTTGTTTCACTTAACTTAGTAGTTTCCAGATCCATCCATGCAGTCACAAAAGGTAGGAATTCCTTCTTTTTTTCTGCTGTGTTACTACATATTTCCATTGTGTAAACATACCATAGTTTTTTAATCCACTTATCTATTGATGGACATTCAGGCTATTGTAAATAATGCTGCTATGAACATAGAAGTTCATAAATTCTTTTGAATTTGTGTTTTGAGTTTCTTAGGGTATATTCTGAGCAGTGGAATTGCAGGGTCAAAAGGTAATTACATTTTTAATTTTTTGAGGAAATTCCATACTGTTTTCCTCAGTAGCTGCACCAGTCTGCCAACAATGCACTAGGGTTCCTTTTTCTCCATAACCTCACCAGCACTTGTTGTTTGTTGATTTATTAATGACGGCCATTTTGGCAGGTGTGAGGTAATATCTCATTGTGGTTTTAGTTTTCATCTCTGATGGCTAGTGATGTTGAGCATCTTTTCATATGCCCTCCTTGAAGAAGTGTCTGTTCAGGTCCTTTGCCCATTTTTATTGGATAGTTTGTCTTTCTGGTGTTGAGTTGTGTGAGTTCTTTATATATTTTGGAGATCAAACCCTGTCGGATATATCATTGGCAAATATGTTCTCCCATACAGTCAGTTCCTTCTCCTTTTGATGTTGGTTTCTTTAGCCATGCAGAAGCTTTTAAATTTGATATAGTCCCATTTGTTTATTTTTTTCTTTATTTCCTTTGCCCTAGGTCAGGGGTGTCCAACTCATTTTCACCAGGGGCCACATCAGCCTCTCGGTTGCCTTCAAAGGGCCAAATGTAATTTTAGGACTGTATAAATGTAACTACTCCTTAACTGTTAAGGGGTTGAAATTACATTCGTTGAAAGTAAAACATCTCTTCAATAAATGGTGTTGAGAGAACTGACTTGTACATGCAAAAAAATGAACCTAGACCACCAAGTTACACCATACACTAGAATAAACTCAAAGTGGATAAAAGACTTAAATATAAGTTGTGATACCATAAAAGTCCTAGTGGAAAATATAGACAGTAAAATTTCAGATATCTCACATAGCAATGCTTTTTGCCAATATATCTCCTAGGGCATTCATTGTATGCTCATGTCCCCTTTGTCAAATATTAATTAACCATAAAGACATGGGTTTATTTCTGGGCTCTCTATTCTGTACCATTGATCCATGTGTCTGTTCTTATACAAGGACCAGACTGTTTGTACCACCCCTTTTAAAGATTAGTGAAAGGGACTTTTCTTTATAATCAGGCCTTGCAGTCAGTTTAGTTAAACAGGTGTCATTCACTTACCCATTTAGTCACTCAAGCAATAAATATTCAATTTGCCTTTTATGTATCAGGCACTGTGTTAGGCTCTGGGAACCAAATTATAACAACATAAACACAATCCATGCCCTCATGAAACTTATAGGTTACTGGGGGTGGTGGGTGGGGGTGATTCAGGCCAAGGACTTTAAAGGAGAAGTACAGGATTGTATGGGAGCATATAATAAGGAACTTAATCTTTTAACCCTATTTTGATATAGTAAAGCAGGAACATTTAAAGTATTCCCAAAGAATGAGTTAGTTAGCCAGACAAATTCTGGGAAGCATTCCTAGAGAGAAGAGCATAATTGAAGGCCCTATTATAGCAGGGAACTTACGGAGGCTTAGGAATTGAAAGAAGACTAGAGCATAATGAATGGAAGACGAGATGAACTTCGGAGGGATACTGGGTACCAAATAGTACAGAATCATAAGAATTTTAGACTACCCTGCGAGTACTAGGGAAGGATGGAAGGTACTTAAGCAGAGTAATGACAGAATCCATCTTTGTAATATTTTTGTTATAAAGGTGTAGACACAAAGCTGGAGCCTGATGTGATTAAACTTTAATTAACTCTCCTTTTTCAAATTATTTGTTTACTTAGCTGTTAAGCATGGCTTCCTCAGTGAGACATAAATGGAAGTTGCTTTGGAATTAATAAAATGGTTTTCTCTGTGTGTGTGTGTGTGTGTGTGAGAGAGAGAGAGAGAAGAGAGTTACAGTAGAGAGAGAGAGATTGAGGGGGTGTGGACAGCAGAGATACCTGGTAGTCAAGATATTATTTTTAAAATTTGACATAGCAATGAGAAATTAGCTAAATCTACTTAGAATGTTAATAATTCATGTATCACGCAGTACTAGTAATTCTTAAACTGCTATTTTTTACATTTGACTATTTTTGAATTATTCCAAGAAATGACATTTAAGGATTTGTTTCAACCCATAAATTCTTTACTTAATGTAAATAAGATTATTAGTCTGTTCTTATTTCTTTTCTCAACATAACTGTCAGAATGTACTATTCTAATTATGTTATTGGCTTCTTTAGAGATTGTTCAGAGTTATCGTTAGGACTAGTTAAATTTATCTTAAGCTTTAGAGTCTGTTTGTTTTGGGTTGGCCAAAAAAGTCTGTTCAGTCTTTTCTGTAAAAGAAAAGGCACACTTTTCATTTTCATCAATCACTATTGATTTGGATGCTTGGAGTGTGTTGGCTATCTCCCATGTGGTATAACATTGATTTTTCTCAATTACTGTCTCAGTTTGATCGCTATCAACTTCAACTTGTCTACTCTACTGTGGAGCATCATCCAGCGAGAAATCTCCAGCACAAACTTCGAAAACCACTTTTGACATGTTCAGTCAGTCACAGCACCTTCTCTGTACACTGCATAAATCTTTTTTTGGCATTGTATATGTGTTTTTACCTTTCTTTTTATTATTTATTAGAGGGGAAGGAGAGAGGAGAGAAACATCTGTATGGTTGCCTCTTCTCCCTGCGCTGCTGGTTTACCTTCTGAAATAATAAAGCATAATATAATGAAAATGTTGCTTATTTTCTTCCATCTTCAGTATTAAATTGGCTACACAAATATTCACCAATTCTGATGTTTTTTTAATGCCCACTGATATGACAGCTGTCACCATACAGTCGGATATAATTGTTTTAATGAAGTTAAAGACAACAAAGTGTTACTAGAGCCATCTTACCGAAAAAATGTAACAAACTTTTTGGCCAACCCCAAAATAAATACCTAACACTATGTCTTGCACACAGTACCTAATAATAAACACCTAATACTGTGTCTTGTACATAGTTGGCACTCAAAAATATCTTCAGTGAATCAATATATCTGATAGTTATCTTTTTTAAATTTTAGTTTTCAATTGCAGTTCATAATCAATATCATTTTGTATTAGCGTCAGGTGTGCAGCCTAGTGGTTAGACAATCATACTTTACAAAGTGTTCCTCCCAGTAGTTTCCCTATCTGTACCTTACATTCCCATGACTATTGTATTTTTTTTACTTATTTATTTTTAAGGATTTTATTTATTTATCTTTAGAGGGGAAGGGAAGGAGAGAGGGAGAGAAATATCAATGTCTGGTTGCCTCTCCTGCATCCCCTGCTGGGAACTGGCCTGCAGCCCAGGCATGTGCCCTGATTGGGAATTGAACCGTGATCCTTTGTTTCGCAGGCCCGTGCTCAGTCCACAGAGCTACACCAGCCAGGGCTCCCAGGACTATTTTATAACTACTAATTTGTACTTCTCATCCCTTCACTTTTTTCACTCTGTCTCCCCAGCCCACTCCTTCTGGCAGCCATCAGTCTGTCCTTTGTATTTTCAATTTTGCTTGTTTATTTTATTCATTAGATTCCACGTATAAGTGAAATCATGGTGTTAGTCTTTCTCTGTCTGACTTATTTTACTTAGCATAATACCTTTAGATTTATCCATACTGTTGCAATTGGTAAGATTTCACTTTTTTTCTGATACAATGCTCTTAATTACGTCTGATAAAATTTCCTTCCTTAATTCCCTCCCTTCACACAAACATATTGCCTTTATTTGATACTCATTTTCTCCCAGCCTTGATAGTCTTCAGTGTTCTACTCTTGAGTATTATTATTTTGCTGTTTTCCCTTACTCAAAATCTCTTTTTAAGGTTTAATTGTCCTCAGTCTTTTTGTTAAGATTCATGTTCTTGCTATTTTGTATTCTAAACCTTTGTTTGCCCATTTTCTCTTAGAAAATGTCTTTTTTTCTTTTCTCATTTGATCTAACTTAATTTATATTGAAAACAACTTTTGAGCCTGCTTTTTGTGTTTTGCAGTATTTTAATTGCAGGTTTTCCCATCCTGAGGAACTATTGAATTGTTACTATGCATTTGACAAATATAATTTTATATATTCTATGTTTTTAGTCTATTGAAGACAATGAAGTATATTTGCCTAATGATGAAATTTGGACCTATGATATTGATAGTGGGTTGTGGTAAGTAATTTTAAATTGTAGAATGTTGAGTCTTAATACGTGTTATAAATATTTTCATAGACTTGGGAATTTACAGCCCTGCTTAGAACATAGTGCAACATCTATTTCTCCCTTTCATTTTCTTTCAATGTTTTATTTTCTCTGGCTCTTCATTTCCCCTGCTCCCTTCCTCTCTCCACTATTTGTCCTTTACCATTCCTCATAATTCTAAGGCTGTCTCTGAAGGTTTTGTTCTGCTAATTAATTCTCGATTCTGGCGACACATGCGAAGATTTTGTAATTTTCCAGTACATCGAAAAACCTGTATGGCGGATCTTAGAATTTTTGCAGTATTAGCTACCATTATATTTTAATTGTCAGTGACAATTTTCATTTAAAAAGGACTCAAGGGATTCAAAGGGAATTTTACTTTGCCTTTTGGAAAGTTATGAAATTCCATGTTATTCTTGCTGCAGGACAATGCACCTCATGGAAGGAGAACTCCCTACCTCCATGTCAGGAAGCTGTGGTGCTTGCATTAATGGAAAGCTGTACATTTTTGGAGGATATGATGACAAAGGATACAGCAATCGAGTAATACATTTTTTCAATTCAGGAGTGCAGCAAAATGTGTAATAATTAGTGTATCAATTCACATCACAAATTTACAAATATTTTAAAAAGAAGATACATATAGAAAATCTTGTGTTTATGATTATAAGGTTTTAGAGTGAAAATGAAGTGGTGCTTTTTTTCCATGTCTTTCTGTTACAGAATTAACTACATACCTAATTGATATCTATAGGGCAAGAGAATGATGGGAAAAGATCTATTTCAGTATGTTTCATATATCATTTTTTGCTTCTAAAACAGTCTCACTTTCATTAGCTCCATAGTTAAAATTTTACTTGTTAGAAAGAAAAAAGTAATATTATTATCTTTTGGATCACATAATCCTCAGATATAGATTTAATTTTCAAGTGCCCTGTCTGTTAATGGTGTTCTCTTTTTTTAAAGCTTTATTTTGTTAATTTGCGAACCAGAGATGGAACCTACATTTGGGAAAAAATCACCAAGTTTGAAGGAAAACCACCCACACCACGTGATAAACTTTCTTGCTGGGTATATAAAGACAGGTAATGCATCAAAATCATCTCACTAGCCACACTTACATGAGGATCATAGCTTGAGGCCAAAGTCAAGAAAACTTGAGAGTCTGATTTGTTTCAACATATAATTACAAACTTTTTAAAAAATCCTCACCCGAGGAGGTGCTGTTTTATTGCTTTAGAGAGTGGAGGGGGATGTGGGGTGGGGACGCGGGGTGAGAGAGAAAGAGAGAGGGCGGGGGAGAGGGAAACATTGATTGGAGAGACAGACATCGCCCCTGAAACATTGATTGGCTTAGGTGTCGCAACCTACTGAACCTGCAACCTAGATATGTGCCCTGACCAGAGTAAACTCCACAGCCTTTCAGCATCTGGGAGGGTGCTGCACCCAACTGAGCCACATGGGCCAGGGCCAAACTTGTTTTGATGCTTAATGGTAACAGCAGTTTTAAATCCTAGAAACCTAAGTAATAAAAATAAACCTGTAGAAGCAACTATAAATTAAAAATAAATTAAAATTTAAAACACCACATAGTTAATTTATAGTTTAATAGTTTATTAGAGTTTCTAGTGAACACTAATAAACTTTATAACGTATAGTTTAATAGTTTATTAACTTATTGATTAAAAAATTTGAATAATACATTCACAGGATTCATACCGTATTTTAAAATATTGCAGTGAAAGCTTTGGCTCCCACTTCTACCCCTGCTCCCCCATGCACAAATAGCTACTTCTCTTTATATCTTTTGTATTCTATGGTAATGGTTTCCAAAATTGTGTGTCATTGGAATCACCTGATGATCTTTTAAAAATTCCAAAGCCCAGGTGATACCCCAGAATAATTAAATTACAGTGTCTAGGAGTATGATTATTTTGAAGTTCCTCAGGTGGTCACAAGGTGCAGACAAGTTTGGAAACCACTGCCGTCAGTGTTACTTTATGCAAATAGAAGCAAGTATGTATGTGTGCATATGTATTCCTCTTTTTGCCCCTCCTCCTCACATGAATGTCAGTATACTCTCTATACACTGTGGGCACTCTGCTACTTCTTTTAGTTAAAAGTGAAGTGGAATTCCTGGCTGGTGTAGCTCAGTGGATTGAGCACGGGCCTGTGAACCACACGATCGTGGTTCGGTTCCCAGTCAGGGCACAGGCCTGGGTTGCAGGCCAGTTCCCAGCAGGGGACACATGGGAGGCAACCATACATTGATATTTCTCTCCCTCTCTCCTTCCCTTCCCCTCTAAAGATAAATAAATATTATTTTTAAAAAAGTGAAGTGGAGATCTTTCATCTTTCTGTATCCCTAGTTAGAAAGCTTGTTCTCTGTGGGTTGTTGTTGTGGGGGTTTTTGCACTTTTATAGTATTCTCCTCTGTGATTATATATGCCATTGTTTGTTTAACCTTTACCCTGTAGGTTGTTTCAAGTCCCTTACTATTACAAATTATGCCTTAATGGATATCTTTGTGTGTGTGTGTGTATGTGTGTGTGTGTGTACATACCAGATAGATCTACTGAGTGAAATTCCAGAATTAGGTGGCTGGGTCAAAAGGTAATGCATTTATAATTTTGTAGATGCTAAGGTCGTTATGGCTACTGTAGCAAGGAACCATAAACTGAGTGGCTTCAACCACAGATATATATTGTCTCACAGTTCTGGAGGCTAGAAGTCTGAGATCAAAGTGTCAGCAGGGTTCATTCATTCCCTGGGTTTTGAGGAAGAATCTATTCCATGCCTGTCCCCTAGTTGCTGATGATTATTGGCGGCCTTCGGTGTTCCTTGGCATGTAGATCGCTCTCCTGTCTCTCTGCTTCACTTTCACAGTAGTGTTCTGCCAGTGTGTACTTCTCTGTCTCATCTTAACTTGACTGCTTCTGTAAAGACCTTATTTTCAAATCAGGTCACATTCTGAGATATTGGGGAATAACACTTCAACATACAAATTCTGGGAGGACACAATTCAACGCATAAGAATAAATTTTGCAAATTTTTCCTCCATAGAGGTTGTGCTGTTTTATATTTCAACAATGGAATGCTTATTTCTCCACAGTCTTGCCAAGAGTTTGCAAACAAATGTAGATTTTTTGTTTTGCTAACTGAGAAGTGATGTTTCAGTGATATTTTGATTTTCATTAAAAACATATTTTTGTGGGTTTAAATGTATTTTCATATGCTTAAAGGAAATTTTTATTTTATTTTTCTCTAGACTGATCGTGTCCTTCACTAATTATTTTCTATTGTTGGCATTTATAATCTCAGTTGCTAGAAGTTTCTATCGTTATGTGTTAAAGAGATTAGTGTTTGTGCAATATGAAATTTTTTCCAGTTTTGTCACCCTCTTTTGACTTTACTTAAAAGTGTGCTCTGTATACATTAAACAAACAGCTTTTCAAAACTTCGATTTAGATAAACTTATCAATAATTTATTTTGTGGCTTCTGGATTTTGAGCCTTGATTGTAAAGTCTTTTTCCACTCTAAGATTATAATCTAATTCTCCCATATTTTCTTCTGGTGCTTTTTAAATTTAATTTTTCCATTTAAATCATTAATTCATTCTGGGACTTATCCTGTGAATGGTGTGAGATATGGATTCAGGTTTATTTTTTTTGAATGACTATCTCATCTCTAACTCAGTTATTTCAGATTCTACTTTTATTATGTATTTATTTATTTTTTAATATTTGGATCTACTTTTAGGTTTTATTCTATTTTGTTTATTTTGTCTCTGTTAATGCACAAATACTTCATTAGTTTAGAGACTGAAGTGTTACAGAACATTTTTATAGAACTAGTACACCTTAAATAATTATCACAAAGTGTACACACTTATATAATTGCTACCCAAATAAAGAAACAGAATATTATTCGCACTTTAGAAACCCTCCTTATGTCCACTACTTACTGCTGTGCTCAGACTCCTTTCAAGAGAAAACCATTATCCTAATGTCTAACATCCTGTATTATTTATTATTTTTGTGTCATATATGGAATCATACAGAATTTATTCTTTTATTCATATTATATTTTTGAGATTCATCCATGATGTTTTGTCTACCTATAGTTTTCTTTCTTTCCTATATGTTATTCTGTTAAGTACAATACTACACAGTATATTTATTCATTCTACTATTGACAGATGTTTAGGTCATTTTCACTTTTTAACTCTTCGGAGTAATATGAATATTCTTCTGTGTGTTTTTGTACATAAAGGTATACATTTCCATTGGGTATATCTTTCTTCATTCTCTTAATGGTCTAATCTGATTTTAATATAGTATAATTTACTAATCTTTTCTTTATGATTAGTGCTTTTGTACCCTAGCAACTTTTCATTCCCCAAGGTCCTGAGATATTCTTATGTTATCTTTTAAAACATTCATTATTTTACGTTATCCATTCCTATCCACAGTCCACCTGGAATTGTTTTTTGTGGTATGAGGTAAAGGTCAGGTTTCTTTTTTTAATCCTTACCTGAGGATATGTTTATTGATTTTAGAGAGAGTAGAACGTGGGAAGAGAGAGAGATTGATGTGAGAAACATCAATCAGTTGCCTCCTATACACGCACCCTGACTGGGATTGAACCCACCACCTAGGTGTGTTCCCTGATTGGCAGCTGAACCCACACGCAGCCTTTTGGTGTAGAGCTGACACTCCAACCAACTGAGCCACCTAGCCAGGGGAGGGGTCAGGTTTTATTTTTCCATTTGGATAACCAACCGGACAACCAGTCGATCCAGCAGCATTGACTGCCCTGATCATACTTTCTCCTTTGCTTTGAGGTACCACTTTTGCAACAAATTAAGTGTCCATATGTGGAAGGGGTGTTTATTGACTGGACATCAAACCCACAACCTTGACATATCAGGACAAGGCCCTAACCAACTGAGCTACCAGGCCAGGGCTAATTTGTATTTTTTTATATATTTGTATTTCAGATATAAATCTTGCTTGGTTGTAACAAGTATTTCAACATACTGTTGATTTCTGTTAGCAGACATTTAGAATTTTTTACGAAGAGTAATGGATAACTTTGTCTACTTGTTTGTCTAATGGATAACTTTGTCTAATGGATAACTGTCTTTGATTTGTTTCTGGATGTTAATTTTTTGTCATAACAGTTTGGAAAAAGCATTATAGGAACTGATGCTTGAAATAAAACTGAACTCTGAGCTTTGGGTAGGCTTGCATAAAGAAAGCATCTTTGTGAACAATTAGGAGAAATGAAGTATGTTTCTGTAAACCACTAGGTTAGGGTTTTCTACTTTTGTCTTTCCAGGACTTAATGGACCCCAAATCTACAAAGTATTTTTGGTTCCTTAAAGTTTTTCTAGTTTGTGTATACAAGAAACTGGTAACAGTGTTTGTCTAGGCAGGAGAATTGAGCGAGAGTAGAAGGGAGACTTACTTTTTATTGTAGCTTTTTTAAAAGGTTGTGGTAAAATATATATAATATAAAATTTGCCATTTTAATCATATTTAAGTGTACAATGCAGTGGCATTAATTACATTCACAGTCCTGTTCAACCATCATCATTATCTGGTTTTAAAACTTTTTATAACTCTAAATCAGAAACTTATGGTAGTGTTCATCCCTAGGTATCTATGGGGGGCAAAATCTGCCAGTACTCAAGTCCTGTATAAAAAATGGTGTGGTATTTGTATATAACTTATGCACATCCTTTATATACTTTGCCCTGTACCACCTCTGCCACCATCATTACCCCCTTTAGTCCATGGGTCATACATATAAGTTCTTTGGCTTCTTCATTTTCCATACTATTAACATCTTCTGTCTATTTTGTACCTACCATTTATGCTTCTTGTTCTGTGTACCTTTTCCTCCATTCTCACCCTTCCTCCACCCTGCTAATAATTTATTTCTGTCAATCTCTTCATGTTCTAGTTATTTGACTAGTTCATTTTCTGTTTTTTAGGTTCAGCTGTTTGTTTGTTGTCATTTTACTGTTTGTATTTTTTATCTTCTTTTTCTTAAATTAGTCCCTTTTACATTCCCTATAATAAGGGCTTGGTGATGATGAACTCCTTTGACTTGACCTTATCTGGGAAGCACTTTATCTGCCCTCCCATTCTAAATGACAGCTTTGCTGGATAGAGTAATCTTGGCTGTAGGTCCTTGCCTTTCATGACTTGGAATACTTCTTTCCAGCCCCATCTTACCTGCAAGGTTTCTTTTGAGAAATCAGCTGGTAGTCTAACAGGAACTGCTTTTTAAGTAACCCTCTGCTTTTCTCTTGCTGCTTTTAAGATCCACTCCTTATCTTTAATCTTGGGTAATGTAATTATGATATGTCTTGGTATGTGCCTCCTTTAGTCCAACTACTTTGGGACTCTCTGAACATCCTGGACTCCCTGAAAGTCTATTTTCTTTGCCAGATTGGAGAAGTTCTCCTTCATTATTTTTTCAAATAAGTTTTCAGTTTCTTGGTCTTCCTCTTCTCCTTTTGGCACCCCTACTATTCTGATGTTGGAACATTTAAAGTTGTCCTGGAGGTTCTCAAACCTCTCCTCATTTTTTTGAATTCTTGTTTCTTCATTCTGTTCTGGTTGAATGTTTCTTTCTTCTGCTCCAAACCCTTGATTTGAGTTCTGGTTTCCTTCCTGTCACTGTTGGCTCCTTGTACATTCTTCTCTTTCATATAATGCAACCTTCATTGCTGCCTGGGTCTTTTTTATGTTGTTGAAGTACCCAGAGAGTTCCTGGAGCATCCTGATAACCAGTGTTTTGAACTGTACATCTGATAGGTTGGCTGTCTCTTCATCGCTTAGTTGTATTTTTTCTGGAGCTTTGATCTGTTCTTTCATTTGGGCCTTTTTTTTTTGAGTCTTAGTGTGCCTGTTACGTAGTAAAGGGTGGAGCCTTAGGTGTTCACCAGGGCAGGGCCACCCACATTGTGGCACTGTATGTTGGGGAGAAGCCTGAGAGAGAACAGTGCCACTTGTTCCTCTTTCTGCTGGTTTTCAGTCACTTCCCCTGATATCCACAATCAAGTTGGGCCCTTCTGGTGCTATTCCTGGGTGGGTGGGTATGTTCTAGGATTCTCTGGGTCTCTCCAGCGAACTGTCCTGTGATGCTGGGAGTTTCTCCTGCTGCCCCCTCAACCCCCACGGGTGTTTTCAGTCAAAGGTTTTGAGGCTTTATTTCCCCACACTGAAACCCTGGGTTGCTCAGTCTGTCTTGGTTCCTAGTTGTTTTTCCCAGCTTATCTGCACGCGAATGTGGGACTCGGAGGTCCACCAGCTACCGCCTTGCCATAAGTCCTCTCTACCTGGCTGCCCATTTCTGCCCCTCATACCAGTCTCGATGAATGTTTCTTCTTTTAACTCCTTGGTTGTCAGATTTCTATACAGTAAAATTTTCTGTCAGTTCTGATTGTTTTTCATTTTAAAATTTGTTGTTTTTCTTTTGGTTGTGGGAAGAGGCATGATGTGTCTACTTATGCCTCCATCTTGGCTGGAAGTCCTGATACAATTAACAAAGTAGATAAACACAAGATATATGAAGCTGCTGCTGGCATAAATCAGCAAACCATTTTACAGCAACCTTATGTTTAATAATTAGAGTATATTCTAAAATAATGATAGAAAGTATATTATAGTACATATGTAAACCATTAATATTGTCATTTATTGTCATGGTTAAGTATTATGTACTATACTTACCACGTATTATATACTATAATTATATTTGCTATACTTTTGTGCACTGGCAGCACAGTAGGTTTGTTTACCAGCATTACCATAAGCATGTGAGGAGTGCATTGCACAACACTGTGATGGCTGTGACATCACTAGGTAATAGAAATTTTTTTAGCTCCATTATAATCTTATGGGACCACTGTCATCTATATGGTTCGTCATTGACTGAACTGTCTTTATATAGCGCATGACTGTATCTAGCTTGTTTAGGTTGTTAGGGTGAGAGAAATGATCGCATTCAACTTTCTATGAACAAAGTGGAAGTAGAACTTCTAAAGGATATTCCTGTCTTTGTATTTGTTTTTCAGATTAATATATTTTGGTGGTTATGGGTGTAGGAGACACAGTGAACTCCAAGACTGTTTTGATGTTCATGATGCATCTTGGGTAAGAGTAATCACTGCTGACATTTTCCTCCAATTTATTATTGCCTTAAAGTTTTTAAAAATAATGAGCCTACTCTTTCTCATTTTAATTTGCTATAATTGACTATGAAAAAATTAGTTTTTCTCTCTTTTGATGTTTGATTAAATTGGACGAGCTTTTCTCACCTTCATGGAAACTGGAAGTTCCTTTTCTTATATAGTTAATTGCTTATACCTGCTTCTGTTAGAAGTGGAGGCTTTAGCACAACTTAGAAAAACTCTGTTCACAGGTAACCAGATTGGCTTTTGCTGGCACACACCTGCTTTTAGATACGTATACTAGAACCACGCAGCTCTGATGGGCTTACACAGGAGTAAGTTGGTAGTGATATTACCTTTCCTAATTATTCTTACTGGTTATAGAATAAACTTATTAATGAAGTCATAACTTATAAAAATGAAATCTTTTAAAGATAACTTTAAAAATCATTGATTCACAAAAAATCATTGATTTACCACCAAAATGCACAGCAACTCTTTAGTTTTACCTTTTATTAGCATAGAGTATTATTGTACGTTACTAATGTTTATGCACATTTTGTATATATCTTTTTGTATATGGGCATTTTTTAATTCTCCCTATAGTTACATGGCTTTTTAGCTTTTAATATAAAATATCTGTAAAGCTTGGCCACTTAGATTATTACTGATAATTTTAGAAATATAACTTCCCTTTGTTTATATGTATTTTTATTCATCAGTGAAATCTCCTGTTCTTTTCTCTTCTAGTACAATTAGGCTAATGCTCATGTCCTGAAATTTTTAGTGTACAGTGGATTTTTTCCCACTGGTACATTTTAAAACGTTATTTATTGTTCAGTTACAGTTGTCCTGCCTTTTTCCTCACTGATCATCCCTACTCTGCCCCCACACTCTTGTAGTCAACCTGCACATTGTCCATGCCCATGAGTCCTCTATTCATGTTCCTTTGCTTGCCCCTTCCCCTTCATTGCTCTGTTACTCTCCTCATATATCCCCTCTGGTCACTATCAGTTTGTTCTCCATTTCCATGCCTCTGGTTTTATTCTGCTCATTTGTTTGTTTTGTTGATAAGGTTCCACTTATAGGAGAAATCATACAGTATTTGTCTTTCACCATCTGGCTTATTTCATTAGTATAATGCTCTCTAGTTCCATCCATGCTTTCATGAAGGGTAGGAGTTCCTTCTTTCTTTCTGTTGAGTAGTATTCCATTGTGCAAACGTACCACAGGTTTTTGATACACTCACTGATGGGCACTTAGGCTGTTATAGCACATGGCTATTGTAAATAACACTGCTATGAACATTGGAGTGCATAGGTTCTTCTGAATCAGTATTTCAGGACTCTTAGGGTATAGTCCCAGCAGTAGGATCATTGGATTGAAAGGCCCTTCCATCTTCAGTTTATTGAAAGTACCACATTGTTTTCCACAGTGGCTGCACCAGTCTGCATTCTCAGCAACAGTACACTAGGGTTCCCTTTTTTCCACAACCTTGCCAGCACTTGTTGTTTGTTGGTTTATTAATGATGGCCATTCTGACCAGTGTGAAATGGTATCTCATTGTGATTTTAAATTGCATCTCTCTGATGGCTAGTGATGTTGAACATTTTTTCATGTGTCTGTGGGTCCTCTATGTTTCCTCCTTGGAGAAGTATCTGTTCAGGTCCTTTGCCCATTTTTTAATTGGATTGTTTGTCTTCCTGGTGTGGAGTTGTGTGAATTCTTTGTATACTTTGGAGATCAAACCTTTGTCTGAGGTATCATTGGCAAATACGTTTTTCCATACAGTTGGTCCCCTTTCCATTTTTTTGCTGTTTTCTTTGAGCTGTGAAGAAGCTTTTTATTTTGATATAGTCCCATTTGTTTATTCTTCTCTTTATATCCTTTGCCCTAAAGGATGTATTGGTGAGAATATTGCTGCATGGGATATCAGAAATTTTCCTGTCTATGTTTTCCTCCAGGACTTTTTTGGTGTCACAATTTACATTTAAGCCTTTTATCCATCTTGAGTGTGTTTTGGTGTGTGGTGTAAGTTGGTGGTCAAGTTTCTTTTTTTTTTTGCATGTACTTGCCCAGATCTCCCAACACCATTTATTGAAGAGGCTATTTTTACCCCATTGTATGTTCCTGTCCCTTTTGTCAAATATTAACTCACCATATTGACATAGGTTTATTTCTGGGTTCTCTGTTCTGTTCCATTGATCTCTGTGTCTGTTCTTATGTCAGTACCAAACTTTCGATTACAGTGGCTTTGTATTAGAAAGGAAACTATATTTCGTTGTTAATGTAGTTTGATGTCATTTGATGCCTCCTGCTTTGTTCTTCTTTCTCAAAATTGCTGAGGCTCTTTGGGATCATTTATGGTTCCATATAAATTTTTGAAATATTTGTTCTACATCTGTGAAATATATCATTGGTATATTGACAGGGATTGTGCTGAATCTATAGGTTGTTTTGGGTGGTATGGATATTTTAACGATGTTACTTTTTCCAATCCATGGACAGTGCATGTGCTTTTGTTTGTTTGTATCTTCCTTCATTCCTTCTTTAGTGTTCTGTAGTTTTCTGAGAACAGGTCTTTTTCTTCCTTAGTTAAGTTTATTCCTAAGAATTTTATTTTTCTTGTTGTCTTAGTAAATGGAATTTTTCTCCTAATTACTGTTTCTGACATTTCATTGTTGGTGTACAAAAATGCCTTTGATTTTTGAATGTTGACTTTGCATCCTGTGGTTTTGCCAAATTCATTTATTAGGTTGAGTAGTTTTTTGGTGGAGTCTGTAGGGTTTTCTGTGTATACTATCATATCACCTGCAAACAGTGGCAGCTTTACTTCTCCTTTCCAATTTGGATGTTTTTATTTCCTTTCCTTGTCTGATTGCATGGCTATAATACTATGTTGAATAGAAGTAAAGAAAGTGATCACCTTTGTCTTGTGCCTGATCTTAGAAGGAAATATTTTAGGTTTTTTAAAAAGATTTTATTTATTTACTTTTAGAGAGAGGGGAAAGGAGGGAGAAAGAGATGGAGAGACACATCAACGTGTGGTTGCCTCTCACATGGCCCCCACTGGGGAACTGGTGCAAATGAGACATGTGCCCTGACTGGGAATTGAACCAGTGACCCTTTGGTTTGCAGCCTGTGCTCAATCTACTGAGCTACACCAGTCAGAGCAAGATTTTAGTTTTTGTCTGTTGAATATGATGTTGTCTGTAGGTTTCTTGTATATAGCCTTTATTGTGTTGTGGTATGCTCCCTCTACTCTCACTTTGCTGAGTGTTTTTATCATAAATGGATGCTATTCTTTATCAAATGCTTTCTCAGCATCTATTGATATCATGTCAGTATTGTTTTTCATATTGCTTGTACATGTATTACATTTATTGATTTGCATATATTATACCAATATTGCATCCCTGGGATGAATCCCACTTGGTCATGGTGTATGATCTTTTGAACATATTGCTGGATCCAGTTTGCCAATATTTGTTGAGAATTTTAGCATCTATGTTCTTCAGCGATATTGGCCTATATTTTTATTTCTTTGTTGTATCTTTATCTCATTTTGGAATTAAGATAATACTGGTTTCATAAAAAATTGGGAGTCTTCCTTCTTCTTGGATTTTTGGAGTAGTTTGAGAAGTATTGGGGTTAGCTGTTCTCTAAATGTTTCATAAAATTCTCCGGTGAATTCATCCAGCCTAGGGCTTTGTGTGCCGATAGTTTTTTGAAGCAGTGAAACTGCTTCAGTTTCGTCTGTTAAGGTTTTCTGCTTCTTCTTGATGCAGTTATGGAGGATTATATGTTTTTGGAAAGTTGTCCATTGTGCCCAGGTTTTCAAACTTGTTGACACGTAGTTGTTCATAGTAATATATTATGATCCTTTGTATTTCTGTGGTATCAGTTGTAATTTCTTCTCTGTTGTTTCTGATTTTATTTATTTGTGCTATCTCTCTTTTTTTCTTGATGAGTCTGGTTAAAGACTTGTTGATTTTGTTTATCTTTTCAAAGAATCAGCTCATGGATTTCTTGATTCTTTGAGTTGTTCTTTCAGTCTCTATGTCATTGAATTCTGCTCTGATCTTGGTTATTTCCTTCCCTGTACTTCCTGTGGGATTTGTTTGTTGTTGTTCCTCTAGTTTTGGGAGCTGTAGGGTTAGGTTGTTTATTTGAAATTTTTCTATCTTTTTTAGGTAGGCCTGTATTGCTATGAACTTCTCTCTCAGGACTGCCTTCAGTGTGTTCCACAGGTTTTGGGTTGTGAGTTCATTTTCATTTGTTTCCAGAACCTTTCTGATTTCTTCCTTGATCTCATTCTTGACCCATTCATTGTTTAATAGCATACTATTCCATCTCCATGAGTTTGAGTGTTTTTGGTTTTTTTCCTTGGGGTTGGTTTCTAGTTTCAGTCCCTTGTGGTCAGAGAAAATGCTTGATATGATTCCAATTTTCTTGAATTTGTTGAGTCTTGTTTTGTGTCCTATCATGTAGCCTATCTTTGAAAATGTTCCATGCACATTTGAAAAGAATGTGTATTTTGCTTCTTTAGCATGAAAAGTTCTATGTATATCAGTGAAGCCCATTTGATCTAGTGTGTCGGTCAGTGCCACAATGTTCTTGTTGATTCTTCGTTTGGAAGATCTGTCTATTGTTGACAGTGGGGTGTTAAAATACCCTACTATAAGTGTATTATTGTCTATATCTTTTTTGATGTCTTCCAAGATTTTCCTTATATGTTTAGGTGCTCCTATGTTGGATGCATATATGTTTACAATGTTTATAACTTCCTGGTGGATTCTTTCCTTTAGAATTATGAAATGGCCTTCTTTGTCTCTTTTTATGGCCTTTGTTTTGAAGTCTATTTTGTCTGATGTAAGTTTTGCTGCCTATAGAACCTCCTTACTGCCCGTTTTGAAGCATCCTCTGCTCACTTTGGCTTCCAAACTTTATATCAGCTAAGAATCTGTTGGCTGTTCACTTTGTTTTTCGGAAGATTGGCTAAGTATCCCAGTTGGGTGCACAAGCAAGTGGGCTCAGCCCCCGCCTACTTCTCTGCCATCTTCTGACTCTGGTGTTCAGTGGATTTTTATTGTTTAGGTTCTAAACTGAGTAATTTTTTTACTTTGACAAGTCCTGACAAAAGTGCTGTATTTCTGACATAAAACATAAACCTGAGCTGTGACAGAGGATCATAACAATCTGGAAGGTGCTAAATACAATATAACTGCTAATCTTTGCCTTGCCAACAACTTTATCTCTTAGAAGACAAAGAAGAAAGTATAACTTTGACTTCTAACAGCAAATTGCTTGGTTCAGTGATTGGAACTTTTTTGAGAAAGGCTCATAGTCCCCTAAAGTTTATAATAATAAAGATTAGGGTTTCTGTGCATGTACTTTAGAAAAAACAGATTTCAAAATGTAAATATCATTCTGTTGTCTGCAGTTTTAAAAGAGACAATTCTTTGAGGGAATTGAAAAATTGTTAACAAGTAAATTATTATATACTGCAAACAATACTATGAGAAGAAAAGTTGCAAGGTGTGCAGCTATGGTCTGGGGACCACACTTGTGAGCCCCTGATGCATGCGTTTGCTTTATGAATCTGGTAATGACTCCATTTTTGTACAGGTGCCTATTATTTCACCAGTAAGTATGCAGTGAAACTATAACAACCTAAAAGTTATAAAATCTCTTAAATATTTTAAAAAATTTTGTTTTAGGAAGAGCAGATATTCTGGGGATGGCATAATGATGTTCATGTATTTGACACAAAGACAAAGAGTTGGCTTCAACCAGAAATTAAAGTAAGTACTATAAATTATTACCTTTACATTTATATAATTGTTGGCACATTTAAACTATATGTTTATACTATGTTATTTGGATTTTAATAACTGAGTTTGTAATCACATACATAGGGGTTCTCTTGAGTACTGTCACTAATCATGTTTTTCTCCAGGTTAGCTAAGGGTTTTTTAAAAAATCTTGTCAAGAGGCACCGTCATCATTGTTTACTCACTACTATGATGCTCCAGTTCAAGGAAGGTTCTTGTAAAAAGTCCTTTTATAGCCAAATTCAGAACTTTTAAAAGTCCGTATTTCAGAAACCTTTGAGGTTAGGGCTACATGCAGCTTGTAGCTACATGTAGCTTGGTAAAAATACATTATTAACTCTTTCATGTGCTAGTGAACCAACAGGAATCAGATTAGTTTAAGCAGCAGTAAATTCTCACATAGCCGGAAAGTGTATTGTGGAGGAGCTCACACAGTGGAAGGAAGAGCTGCAGGGGCCAGGAACTCAGGAACTGGAGCAAGTTACTCAACACCATTGTTTTTCATCTTTCTGTGCCTGCTTCTCCCTGTTTCCCACAGTGCGCTAGTTTCATTCTGTGTGCTGCGGACTGGTTGGCTCATTTAGGTGGGAGTATGGTCCTGGCTACCCAAGCAGTTCTTTCTGTTGGTGTTGTATTGTTTCAGTGCTTACATATTAGTTCTAGAAAAAAAGTCCGGCCCTCTGCAGGCATGTTCCCACTCTTCACATCTGTTTCTATTGCCAAGAGGATGATTGGCCAGGCCCACCCCTTGGAAAGCAGGGTACTGTGACTGATAAACTCACCAGAACTGTGCAGAATTGTAGTCCAACCATTGCTGATGGAAATGGTAGGAGGTTCTCTGTAAACTAGTAAGTGTTACAAGGTAAGACCCTTCTTAGCCCCCTCTTTGTCCAAGTCATGAATTTCAGGTTTGCATTGCCCTTCTGTCTTCTTCATCCCATTTCTACTTTTGGAAATGATCAACTGTCAGCCATTTATACTTGTTGAGTAAATTTTCCTTTAGTTAGCATTTGGATTTTAAGATTTGTGTCTTTTATTTATTTTTTAAATTATATTTTATTGAATACGCTATCCTGGTTTTTCCTCCTTTACCCCAATCCACACCGCACCCCCCACTCTCTTAGCCAGTCCCTCCACCATTGTTCACGTCCATGGATCATGCATCTAAGTTCACTGGCTGCTCCATTTTCTACACTGTACTTTATATCCCCATGGCTATTCTGTAACTACCTATTTATACTTCTTAATCTCCTCACCTCATCACCCATTCCCTCATACCTCTCTCCCATTTGGCAACCCTCAAAATTGTATCCATGATTCTGTCTCTGTTCTTGTTTGCTTAGTTTGTTTTTTAACATCAATTGTTGCTTGATATGTATTTTGGCCATTTATTGTTCATAGTTTTGATCTTCTTTTTCTTATATAAGTCCCTTTAACATTTCACATAATAATGGCTTGGTGATATTAAAACCCTTTAGTTTTTTCTTGTCTGGGAAGCACTTTATTTGCCCTTCCATTCTAAATGTTAGCTTTGCTGGTTAGAGCAATCTTGGCATTAGGTGCCTGCTTTTCATGACTTTGAATATTTCTTGCCAATTTCTTCTAGCCTGCAAAGTTTCTTTTAAGAAATCAACTGAAAGTCTTATAGGAACTCCCCTGTAGGTAACTAACTTTTTTTCTCTTGCTACTTTTAAGATTCTCTCTTTGTGTTTAAACACTGGTATTTTAATTATGCCAATGATGTGTCTGGAGTGAGCCTCTTTGGGTCTATCTTGTTTGGGATTCTCTGTGCTTCCCGGACTTATATATCTATTCCTTCACTAAGTTAGGGAAGTTTTCTTTCATTATTTTTTCAGATAGATTTCCAAATTCTTGCTCTTTCTCTTCTCCTTCTTTCTCTTCTCATAGAAAGAGATGATGTGAATGTTGGACTTCTTGAAGTTGTCCCAGAGGCTGCTTACACTATACTCATTGTTTTGAATTCTTTTTTCTTCTTGTTTTGATTGTCTGTTTTCTGCTACCTTATGTTCCATATCATTGATTTGATTGTTGGCTTCATCCAACAATCTATAGTTTTTCCCTATAAATTGTTCTTTATCTCAATTAGTGTATGCTTCATTGCTGACTGGATCTTTTTTGTGTTGCTGAGGTCTTCACTAAGTCCCTTGAGCATCCTTATAATAAGTGTTTTGAACTCTGCATCTGATAGATTGCTTATCTCCCTTTTGGTTAGCTCTTTTTCTGGAGTTTTGATTTGTTCATCTCGCCTAATGTGGTTTTGCTGTAAATTGTTCTTTGTTTCAATTAGTGTATCCTTAATTTCTGACTTGATCTTTTTTTAAAGATTTAATTAATTTATTTTTTAGGGAAAGGGGAAAGGATGGAGAGAGGGAGAGAAACATTAATGTGGGGTTGCTACTCACATGGCTCCCACTGGAACCTGGCCTGCAACCAAGGCATGTTCCCTGACTGGGAATCAAACCAGTGACCCTTTGGTTTGCAGGCCAGCACTCAATCCACTGAGCCGTACCAGCCAGGGCCTGAATGGATCTTTTTTATGTTGTTGAGGACCTTACTGAGTTCTTTGAGCATCTTTATAACAAGTGTTTTGAACTCTGCATCTGATAGATTGCTTATCTCCCTTTTGTTTAGCTCTTTTTCTGGGGTGTTGAACTGTTCCTTCATTTGGGCCATGTTTTTTTGTCTCCTCATTTTGGCAGTCTCCCTGTGTTTGTAACTATGAATTAGGTAGAGCTGCTATGACTCCCTGTCTTGGTAGTGTGGCCTAATGTAGTAGGTGTCCTATAGGATCCAGTGGCACAGCCTCCTCTATCACCCAAGCTGTGTATTTGAGGTGCACCCTTTGTATGGGCTGACTACTCCTTCCTCTAGTAGTTGAGCCTTGATTGGTATTGGGAGATCAATGGGAGGGATTTATTTTACCCAGCCCAGGCAGCTGAAAGGACTGGCTGTGACCACAGACCACCAACATCTTGCCCTCTGTGAAGGATCAGCTGTGCAGGGATAGGGTGGTGGTGCTCTGACTTGGTCTGTAGCTGCCCACTGGGTGTCTTTGGGGTTTCCTAGGTGGTACAGACCAAGGTATGCCTTCACCTGTGTTTTGTCCAGGGCACCCTGCCTGAGCTATAAAGCAATCTGAGATGGCTGCTACTTACATTGGGCTTGGAAATTCCCATGTGAATCCAACTGTGAATCTAGACTGGCTGCAGCATTGAAGCCAGGTGTTGCTTGTTTGAGAGGATTTAGGAAGTTATGAAGCTTGAGCTAAGACCAGCTACTCTCATGGAAAAGCAGCTTGGTTGGCCTATAAGTTGGGTTGAGCAGAGCCTCTGGGGATCTCCAAGGTGGGTCAAACAGTGTTATCCGATTGATGGAGTCTCAGATATGGTACCAGCTTGCCAGCCTGGTAGGGAGAGGATTTTGAAAAGGGACAATGGCCTCTGCTTGCCTTGATGCCCAATAGGTCAGTTGTTCCCAGTATTCCAGTGGTGCCTTTCAACCTGCTACCCTAGAGGAAGTGAATCTGACTAGGCGAGTTAGGTTAGAACGTGTGTAGGTTCTTTAAGAGGAATTGCTTGGGGCTCCAGAAGTTTTTCCCACTGTTTAATTCCCCACTGTTTTTTTGCAGCCAGAACTTGTGGGGTCTTATCTTCCTGGCTTTGGAACCCTGGGCTAGGAGGCCTGGTGTGGAGCTAGGACTCCTTGCTCCCGAGGTATCCCTCCTGAATTTTTATCCACCACACCTCAGTGAGGCCACTGAGGTTGCTTATAGTTAGTTCCTTGACTTTAAGTCTTTTTCTGACTCCTCTCCCTCTTTACCTTAATCTGTCTCCTTCTCCTTCTGTTCCAACAGAAGCACATGACTTCACACAAGACATTTGCAGATAATGCAATTTTAGGTAGTCCTTGACAGTATTTTCACTGTAATTTCCTTGATAGTGTCTTCAAACAAATTCTTATAGAATTTATATTATACCCGAAACTTTTCTGACATGGTTAGAGCTGAAATCTGTTCTCTTAATTTTTTTAGAGACACTCTTAAATTACTTCATTATTCTCAAATATCTGCATCAAAATGACAAGCAACATGGTAGAGGGGAACAGTTATCAATGTTGAAGTTGAAAAAACTAAATTTGCATTCTAATTGTGTCAGGAAAGACCAGTGTGCTTTAGACAAGCCATTTAGTGTGTCATCTATAGAATGGAAGGTGGGACATGTTTTCCTACATGAGATTTTTACCTCTGTAAGAGCAATATAGTAGTAACAGGGATCTTTGAGTTATTTTAAGCATTTCAAACAACCTAATAAACAATGAGCATTACCAATGCAGTTAGGCACACAGTCTAACACACATCGTTTTTTTGGTTTTGTTTGAAAATGTATGGACACAGTTCATTCAGAAACATTGGTTGGCTGTTAGATATGTTGTATAAGTTAAAGGAGAAATTTGATATTTATTTCATAAAAATGTTTATAGTAGAAGAATGATTCTAAATTTAAGATCAGAGATGTGGTAATGATGAAAATTTTGTTTTTCTGGAAAGGCTGGGAACCACAGCTCAAGTAGTTCTCTCTCATTTATCTAAGTATTATGTAGGTAACATCTGAATTATTTCTTACCATGTAGATGTCAGTACAGTTACTCAAGTCAACCTGAGAAGTCTAGAGAATTATGGTATTGGATGTAGGGTTTAAGTTTCCTATGCCCACATTTAGTAGTCAATGAGCTGAAAATGTTGGCTTCTTTCAGAACTTGGAGTGAAATATATACACAAATATATACCCACCATGAACACATGGAAATTATGCAGAAAATTTTTCCTTCAAATCTTGCACACTCATCTACTCCATTATATTCTTTTTTCCCCACCAATACACAACTTCTCTGAAAAAAAGATCTGCTATATTTATTCAAAGTAATGTATAGAGAAGTGTTATCAGTTCATG